AGATGTCATGTCAGGCCTGTATTGTTACGGTCTGAGTGCTTTGACTTGGGACAGATTTGGTAAGGTTGGATTTACTGGGTCGTTGACCACTAGTGGTTGTTCTACAATAATTTGTGGTTGTTGATTTTTTATTTCCGGTTGAACTACCCTGTTTAGTTCTGTAAGTTCCCTGTGCCGTGGGGTTCTATTTTTAGTAATTAATTATTTTAGTATTGAGTTTTGCAACGTTTTCGCGATTTCTCATACCCATTAACTCGAACTATGTAGATTAAGTTGGCCAGTTAGTGTAGATGACTCCAGGTACTCAAGTCGTTTTATTCAGTCGAATTTTTTTACTCAGAATCTGTTTTCTGTTTCCAAGGTAAAATTTCCGCATGCCACTACTAACAGTTGCCTAATTACCATGAAACTCTAACATTCTCCTCAGGCATATTGAACATATTATAATTGTTAGACTTTTTATAAGTTAAATAGTGTTCTTGTCATACATACATACACGTATTCATGGCTGCTTACTTACTAGGCTAACTTCACTCATCTAAAAATGTCGATAATTCATCTGCACCAAGAGTATGATCGTATACACTCAAAAATGCGGCTTTTAACCATTGGAGTATGCATGAATGCGAAAAGCCTTGTTCATAAGATGTTCATAAGATAGGTGCACACTGATGATTCAATAAAATTTTGAAGAAGACTAGTTTGAATTGCTAATTCAACACCGTAATTTTGCAGGGTGTTCTGAGGTAAACTGTTTCAAAAGAAAGTGCGATCTGCAGAAAAACTTCTCATGAAAATCGTGTTTTCGGCAGTGCTTTCGTGCGGTTGTCAATTTTATATCGCCTCAGATCAGCAGCAACAAACGCGGTACATCGCTTGGACCGTTTTTTAACAGCGTCCGGACATTCCAGGTCGCAAATTGAAAAAAGTTTCGAGTTGACCATTTCTGACCACGTTTGAGCGCAGTGACGCATCAGGAGATGTTTGAAAGAAACAATGTGTGGTCTTGAATTGGGCCACTCTAACACTCTGGAAGCCGGCGTAAAGATTAGTCGTTCCTAACCTAGATCTTGACGTCAAACTGAGATTTTTTGTTGCTCGAGATTTAATTTTTAAATAAAGAGTTGAACTTCTACAAAATGAACTCACTTCTACAAAAAATTCGCGCTCTACATGGCGTAATCTCAACAAGCTACTATTTCGTAACAAAAAGCATTCGCTTCTCAATGGGTCTAAGACAACATTAATTGTTAATTCTTTCAATGATTTTTTCATAAGTAAAATAAACAGTATTTTTATTAACATTTAACAAAAGCTTGAACATTCTATTGAAGATCATAGTCATCGATTCTGCTCATTTGAAGATGTTACACCAGCGGAAATCAAAAACATCATTAAATCATCATGCAATAAGACTTCTCCACTGGATCCATTCCCTTACCAGGTTCTCATTCAATGTATCGACATTCTCTCTATTGCTATCTCTCATCTCACGAATCTTTCCTTCAGTCAACAGTTTCCCGATAGTTTTAATGCAGCACAAGTCCTACCAATTTTGAAGAAACATATCAAACCTTACATCTATATCCATAACCATTGAACGTGCGGCCTTATGAAGAATTCAACCATACATCACTTCACATCCTAATTATTCACCTTTACAATCAGCTTATCGGATCAATCATTCAACTGAAACGGCTTTACTTCATATCCCTGATAATGTATTTAATTCATGCAACAATAAAGAAACCACAATTCTTGCTGGACTGGACCTGTCAGCTGCCTTCGACACCATCAGTCATGATATATTACTTCGTCGCTTGGAAGTGGAATTTGGTGTCAAGGGTTCCGTCCTTTCCTGGCTATCTTTATACTTAACTGGTCGCAGTCAATTTGTCAAAATATCCACACACTCATCTCCGATAGTCTATCTGTTTCATGCTGTCCCTCAGGGGTCTGTACTTGGACCACACTTATTTAGAGCTAAAAGTCAGGAATTACGATAGATAGAGCCGCTAGAGTAGACCTCGTCGAATCTAATGAACCTTCATTGGCTTCCATTTCACTTTCGAGTTTGATTTAAAATAGCTGTCATCGTCTTCAAACTTTCAATCTCGCACTCACCGTCGTATCTCAGTGATCTTCTACATAGTAATACAAACAATCGTCAACTTCGCTCTGCCATCGCTCTACGTTTTCATCAGCATAAACCAAACAAACAATATTGCTGGTCGTGCATTCCGACATGCTGCTCCTCACGTTTGGAATTCGCTTCCGCCAATGATTAGGAACTGCAGCTCTACACAGTCGTTCAAGTCGTCATTAAAAACTTTTTTTTTATAGAGCGTTTTCAAACGTCTGACAGGATGTTTTTTGTTTCGACCGCGCCTCAGTCGCTTGCCAGAGCGCTTTTCAAGTCAACATTATCATTATCTCTACATCAAAGCTACTTATGTCCCGAACACAGTTTTGAATTTTTTTCGAAATTTTCCTCGTCATCTATGAGACCATATTTGTATGACTTAGGATCTTTTTTACACTACAAATTTGATTATGTCGGCCACAACTTAGAAAAAAAAGATTAGATAAATTTTTTTTTGTTTTAGATTAGATTATATAATGCAGCAATAAGATTTGTGGTGTTCTTTTAAAATTTACTAAATGATATTTAAAAAAAATTGTATATAAAAATTTGCTTCTACTCTTTCTAGTTTCAGAAATTTGTTTGCTCTTTATAAGGCTTTTTTTTACCATTTTTGTCCATAATTGAAAACTAATATTTTATCATAAACTTTTCTAATTTAAAAAGCTGTATTATTTATTTTATTATTTAGTTTTATTAATGATTTGTTTTATGATGATATTATTTTCAGCAGTGTAGAAAACCAAGTTTATATTTGCTATGTCAAATATAAATACATCGAATCAATATCAATTTCACACAGAGGAAGAGAGGAACTTTTGTGGTAATAATACTAAAGCTATTGAATGCGAAAAATTTGCTAAAGAATATTTCCAAAGAGCAGAAAAATCCGAAACGGTTCAAAATAAGACTGAAATTGATCCAAACAGTGTTTCAGTTCTATCACTTCCATTTATTACTCATGTTACATCTGATATACATACTTATCCAACAGGTATTTATATTCATTTTATTATAAAACAATTTTAATTACAATAACAATTCAGCAGCATTGTTGAATAAAAATGCAGAAGAAGACAATGTATTCACAGAGAGAGTTAATAAATCAACAAAATCTCAGTATGTTGTAAACGTTTTAGTGAGTCAGAATACCTCGTTTAACGTTCAAATTGGGGACCAGATGCAAGTTATTAGTGGACCAGCAACAGTGAGGATGGTGTCAAACACACCGCCCGAACCAATTCAAACTCCTAATGAGCAGGATCAAGTTGTTCAACAAATTGTTGATGACACTGGTGTACTCACACACATAATAATTTCACCACATACTTCAGCTACTAATAATGTTAGCTTTATAATTTTTAAAACTAAAATTAATTAATTATAAATATCAACTGCTCTCTAAACACTCTACTTTTCTTAGAAATTCTATAATATCTGCTTCAACATCTAAAAGTAGGTGGTATGTTCTATTTAAACTTCTTCATAAAAAATCCTCTCACTTCTTATCTTTTTCTGCTCAGCTGTTTCAAGACTTTTTTTGTAAATAGAATTAATTCTTTAAGAACATCTTATTCTAATTTTTCTCCTCACAACTTTACTAAGCTTACTACTGAATCTTTTTCTGTATTTACTCCTATAAATCTTCTAGAACTTACTAAAATTATTGATTCTATGTCATCTACAACCTGTTCTCTAGATCTATTTCCTTCTAATTTACTTATAGAATTTTCTTCAATATTTTATCCTATCATTCTCAAATTAGTTAATTTATCTCTTTCGACCTCCAAATTTCCCCAAATTTCCTACTCCTTATAGGAATTCTATTGTTATTTCTATTCTTAAAAACTCATCCTTAGATCCTTCCTTTTTATCTAATTATATACCTGTTACTAATATTACTTTCATCTCTAAAATAATAGTAAACGTAGTTTACAATCAATTGTCTTTTTATTTAAACTCTAACTCCTTGCTACCTGTATCTCAATCTAGTTTCAGACCTGCTCACAGTACTGAAACTTTTTTACTCAAAATACATAACGATATCCTTTTCTCTAGTGACAGTAGTAATTTTACTCTTTTTTTGCTCTTGACTTTTTTTCTGCTTTTGACACTGTTGATCATACTATTCTCTTGAGGCTACTAGATCTTTCTTTAAATATCACTGATTCTTGTCTATCTTGGTTTTATTCTTATCTCTGTAATCGTTTTTTTTCTGTTGTTATCAATAATTTTACTTCTAACTCCTCTGCTCTTACTTTCGGGGTACCTCAGGGTTCTATCCTTAGTCCTCTTCTATTTATACTCTATACTTTTGAATTATTTTGTATTAATAACTTTTCTTTTTTTAGTCAACTATATGCTGATGATTCTTATATTTTTACTTCTTTTCCTCCATCGAATCTCAATAGTTTTCTTCATGATCTCTATGTCTTTCTTTAATTATCGCTTGGTCTGACTCTATGTGTCTTAAACTTAATCCTTCTAAATTTGAATTAATTTGCTTTAATAAATTTAAACACTATATTACTATTCCTCCTATTATCTTACCTGATTCTAAAACTCATCTTACCTGATTCTGAAACTATCGATGTTTGTCACAAGTTTCGTAGTCTAGGCTTTATCTTTGATTCTGGTATGTCTCTTTCTTCTCAGATAAATAGTGTTCCTAGAAGTTCTTACTTTTATCTACGTAGAATAAAAAAACTTTTGCCTTTTCTTGATGATCCTACTCTTCTCCTTCTTGTAACTTCGTTAGTCTTATCTAGGATGGATTATTGTAACTCGCTCTTCTTGATTCTACTCTCTATCCTTTAAGTAAAGTTTTTAACTCTGCTGTTCGTCTAGTTTATCATGCCCCATTCTTTTCTCATATACCTCCATATCTTGTTCTCTTGCACTGGCTATCTATAAAATATAGAATAAGCTAATTGATTGATTAATTGATTGATTGATTGATTGATTAATTGAGTGAGTGAGTGAGTGGGTGAGTGAGTGAGTGAGTGAGTGAGTGGGTGAGTGAGTGAGTGAGTGAGTGAGTGAGTGAGTGAGTGAGTGAGTGAGTGAGTGAGTGAGTGAGTGATTGAGTGATTGATTGAGTGATTGATTGAAAATTATTTTTCTTATAATAAATATAATATAATAAATAAAAATTGAAAAAAAAAATTGATGGCAAAGAAAACAACGTCCTACCTTTGGGAACTGGGTCTCTGGACGCTAAACGAAGATTGATAATAATAGTTGGATAATTTTTATGTTGTTTTTCAACTCACAACTTAACTTTTCATTTTATTATTGTTTTTATCTGTTTTTTGTTAAATATCCAATCATCAAATTCACCCATCACTTTAAATTCATTTATGTTCAATTGTTTGTTTTTTTTTCAACTTGGATTTAAAAGTACTTTCTTTGTAAAACTATATTTTATTGTTTGTTTTTTTTTCTCAAATTTTATGGAATTTTAAAATAAGTGTAGAAAAAATGCTATACTTGTTAAGTGTCAAACAAATAGTGCATAATAATGCAAAAAAGATATTAAAGAATATGAGAAAAAAAATTAATTTCTTCAATTTTTTATTTTGATCTTTTTTGCTAAGTTTAACATCAAAATTTAAGAACTTTTTGTTATATTATAACCAATCCTTAACTTCAAGCATTTTAATATGTTGCAATTACATTCAAATATATAACTTTTGAAACACCTGAATTAGTTTGAAAATTTGCATCATTTAAACGTAGAAAAAATGTTATACTTGTAAAGTGTCAATCAAGCAGTGCACAATAATGCAAAAAAGATATTATCTTTTAACTTTCAGCATATTTTAAAACCTAAATATATAATAATTTTAGTAACAGAAAATTACATTAACTGATTTTACATGTTTTTTAAATAACTTTTATTTAGTAATTGTTTTACGTGCAAAGCATAAGTTGAAAAAATTTGTGTTACTTTATCTGGGTTTCAATGCAATTTGAATTTTTAGTACCGCAACCCCCAAAATTAAAACCACAAACTGTTTGATCCGCGATTTTGAAATTTAGACGCTTCAAAACTTTGCTATGTTGCAAAACTTCCTGTAATTGGCTTAAAGCCAAATTCGATTAGAGCAATAGGCGAAAGAAGTCTTCATTTCAAGAGTTTCAAGTATTGCTGCAGTCATTCTATTTCTTTTCAAAACAACTAAATTTCCAATTTGATTGGTCACAGCAAAGACCGTCAATAAATGACAAGGTCAATTTGCTGAGCATAGTTAGGAACGCCGTTCTTTTTCTTTTTAACTTCATGTGATTGCTCACTTATCGGATAAAAAATAATTGGTAGAATTATGTTCTAGTGGGTGATAGATAGGTTAACTAAAACGCTGTGTGTTTTTGATTCCTCGGATCTCTGGAAGAATGTTTAAGATCTTTAACATTTTTTAACTTTTAACCTCATGTAATTTTATATTTTAACAATAAGTTTTATAAAATTAAATGAAAATATGGGCTGTCTCGTATGGTTTGTTATATGTCGATTGATAGCGACCTGCACATGAATAATATCATAAAACACAATTGCTGAGAAAAAAAATGAAAAAGAAAGCATGTAGTCTAGTGTTTCTCAAAGTGGGCGATAGCGCTCCCTTGTGGGCGCTGAAGTCTTATTGGGGGGCGGTGACAGGTTTTGACTAAATTTGAGAACTTTAGAAGTTTTATGTTTATGTATTGATAATTTTTTTGCTTGGATTACAAAAATCAAATCTATGAACCAGTTAAAATCTTTTTCCATGCTAACTATGCGGATACCCATCAACTTTATTGTCAATTTGTGAACAAAACTCAAAATCTTCCAGACGCAAAGAAATGTATTTGGCTACAAAAGCAAATCCCTTTGTTGTACTCGGGATTGTGGTCATTTGTTCAACGATTCTTGCCTTCATTTCCATCCTCGTATTTGTGCATACGTGGATTAAGTGCTGTAAAAATACTGTTAACGAAAAAAGAAAAAACTTGGATATTAATAAACGTGGAGATTTAAGACAGTTTTTCAATAAATTTGAGCCTGATATTAATAGACTGATAAAAAAATCATCAAATTCACCCATCACTTTAAATTCATTTATGTTCAATTGTTTGTTTTTTTTTCAACTTGGATTTAAAAGTACTTTCTTTGTAAAACTATATTTTATTGTTTGTTTTGTTTTCTCAAATTTTATGGAATTTTAAAATAAGTGTAGGCTCGGAGAAACGAGACTAATATATATTATTGTTATAACATACACCAATTTAACAAATTTAAAATACACCAATAAAATTTTTCTTCATTTTTGGTGGCAAAAAAATTATTTTATTTTACTATTACTTTCATTAACTAAAATAATTTTATTTAAAATTTTAAGCAAAAAAATTAATTTATTTTGCTTTTACACAAGTTCATATCTATGGAAAATAATACTTATAACATCTGTTTAGTCCGTTGTAACATTTTTTCACTACAGAACTCATCTGCATCATTTCATCTTCCAATGCATTCTCCTTATACGGAAATACCTCTTTCTCATATCAATTTTCATCACCATCACAACCATCATTCTTTGGCTCCCAACAGCATGCCAGGTTTATTTGTTTATTTTTGTTTATTACATATATAATGTTGGTTTGATTCTTGATTTCTATTATTTATATTTCTACGTGTTATTTTGTGTATTATTTATGTATCTTAAGCTATTTAATTTTCAAAGATTTTAGATTTTTATAACATAAAATAGAATTAGTTATCAATTATTGAACATCAATTATTCATCAATCACCAAGTTCATCACAAAATTTGCTTGTGAGATGAGGTTGCAGAAAAGTCTGTCAGAAACGAGTTTAACAGCCATAGGTTTGTCGGAAATGTCTTGTCTACGAGAAGCTTGTTTTATCGGAAGGAAGGAACAAAATGAAGAAAGTTATTGAAAACAAGACTGTTGCATAAAACATCCAATACACAAAGAGAATGATGTTTTTTTATCCAAAGGAAGTGAAGAAACGAATTGTCAGAAAAACTATGGATATATGATGGCAGGAAAAATGTATAATTCAGAATTGACTTTTTAAAGTTGTAAAAGAACAAAATTTGAAAGTATAATATATCTAAAAAGATCTAAATTTAAAGTCAACGTGCTGAGTATCAACGTCTCAATCTAAATTATTTCCTAAGTATTTATCAGATATATTAATTGAACCTAAACGCCCCGGTTTACGATCGTCTTCTTCTTCTCGCTTTTTCTTAACTCGTGTTAAACACTCTTTTTCCAAGTCTGCTTCTGCTTTTTCTGGTCCTTTTCTCTGGAACTCTCTACGTACTTCTCTGACTACTTCTCCATCAATTGCGAAGTTCAAAGCGGATCTCAAGACCCATCTGTTTTCAAAATTCATTGAGGAGCGCTGTTGAACATCGCGGAAATACCGCTTTATAAGCTAATTGATTGATTGATTGATTGATTGATTGATTGATTGATTGATTGATTGATTGATTGATTGATTGATTGATTGATTGAATGATTGATTGATTGATTGATTGATTGATTGATTGATTGATTGATTGATTGATTGATTGATTGATTGATTGATTGATTGATTGATTGATTGATTGATTGATTGATTGATTGATTGATTGAGTAATGAAACTATGAACTGAATACCTTAAGACTAATGAATACATTCGAATCTCAGGAGCTGTAGAAATACTTGAAAATGTCTTAAAATATAAAAAACAAGTTAGATTTAAAAGTAGATAAATTTAAAACAAAAATTCATTGAGAAAACTAGACACATCGATAAATAAAAAATATTTGTCAGATTTTCCATTCTTTCCTTCCGCATGATATGACCAAAAAACTTTAACTTTAACTGCCCCTGTTGTATTATCTGTAGTAATTTCCTTTTTCCATAACCGGACTGTTTTAATACATCCTCATTCGAAGTATGAGAGGTCTAACTAATTTTTATAATTTTTCTTAAAAACCACATCTCAGCAGGGTTAATCTTTTTTTTCATTTCTTTAGAAATTGTCCAGTTAGCACATGAAAAATGTAACATCCTAACTGTTTTAATTTTGTTGATATTCTGATTTTACTGTTGTTGAGGATGTTTTTCATTATAGAATTTGCATCTTTTGCCATAGCTATTCCTTCACATAGATATCCACAGCACATTTACAACCTGAGGTAATCGGACTTCCTAGATAATTGAAGCTGTTGACTTGTTTCACCTGTTTACCATTAATGGTTATAGAGCAGATCGGAGTGGTTTTGCTTTTACTGATAACTGATTTTGTTGATGTTAATTTGCAAGCCTTTTCTTTCACTTTCTAAAACCAGTTTGGAACCAATTGTTTGCAGTTTTCCATTGAATCTGATATAAGAGCTATATCATCAGCTTATCTTATATTGTTAATATTCACGCCTCCAATGGCTATTCCAGGTAGATCTTCTATTTTTCTCATGATGATTTCACTATTGAGATTGTACAGGTCTGGAAAGAATACACAGCCTTGCCTAAAACCTTTCTTTATTTTGACAAAACTAGTCATCTTATTATCAACTTTACCAACATAATATAATACATCAAATGCAATATAATACTATACATATACAATACATAATATATAATGTAATATATAGACACATACATATGTATATATTGAATTAAGACTGTCAGAAATGCAATTATTGATGAAAATCACAGCATTTTTGAACAACGTTTGTGACACCACTGGTTACACTGCTGACACTTGATTGAATTGTTACTTACACCAGCTTTACAAACTGAACAGGGCCATCGTCCAGTAGCTGTGGATTGGATGGGTTCACCAGTGTTCATTGCTTTGGTTTTGCTGATGTTGACTTTGAATCCATGATCGACGAGTCTGGTGTTCCAATCTTCAAACATCTGTGCTGCATTCTGCTCAGACGTGGCTTGACAGACGAGTTTGGCGATCATTTAGATATTATTCTTAATCGTGATCATTCTTTTATCAATCAGTGACGATTTAATCGCTCCAGCTCCACTTTTAACTGTTAATGACCATTTAACATCAGGATTTAACAAGTCAGTTTCAGAAACGTCTAAACCATATTTATTTGCGCAAGCTTTCAAAAACATTGCTAATAATTAATTAAACATGTGCCTCTGAAAGCAAAGAGTAGAGCGCTAAACAAATTAATAATAATTAACACTAAAAATATACTAATTTGAAAAAATATATTTTATTTTGTTGTATCTTGGAGATGGTATGCTTTTATTAAATATGATGATGATAATGACTTTGTATCAATTGCAATTTAGTACAACAAACCTTAGGCTCTTCAACTTCAGATAATGATTTTTTAACTTTTGTAAAATTATCAAGCACTTTGTTTCCATCTTGTGTACGATTGTTTCCTGTATGATAGAAACTATTTGAATTAATCTTGGCTGTAAATGCATTATCCGTGTAGCTGTTGTCGTCACTGTTATTCGTCTCACTGTCTACATTTTCAAAGCTCAAATCTAAAACATGTTTGAATTTAAATATTACTAAACTAGAATGAAAATAATTTTCTTTTTTTAAACAGATATCATCAAACATAAAAAAGAAAATTCGAGTTAATCACAAGTTAGTTTTAACTTAAAAAGTTTATTAATTCAGAATGTGCACATGCAGTAAAACCATGTTTACCAAATTATTAAACTTATAATAATCACACTCTCCAATATGAAATTAACTGAGATGGGCTTTAGTTGTAACGCCCTGCAAAATTTGTGTTTTGATAGTTTTTATGAAAACTTTCTGTTTAATAAATAAATAATGAATTTTGAAAAAGTTTTAACATTTGAGATAAAAAAATTAGTATAAAAATCTAATAAAAAAATGAGTAAAATTTCCAAGTCTCTTATATCTCGTTTGCCCAATGTTTGTCTCTCATAAAGTCTAATAAAACTCAACTACAATAACAACAGAAGAAATAAAAAAATGTACCATCGCCATCCTTAATGCGTTCGTCACAACGTTTCACTTCATTGTCGGGAAGAGGCAATTGAGCTTCTTTAGAACTAAACTGAGAGGTTACGCATTTTTTTAGTTGAAGTTTCATTTGAAGTCGTTCCTTTCTTTTGCTTGTTCTCTGATCTTTGTTGGTTACCACTAACACAAATTAATTGATTTGACATTTGCGGTTATGTCCAATTGAAATAATGTAAATATGCTAACAAAAAAATTATATAATACTTAAATTATATATTAATTTAAAAAAAAACAACTTGATACTCCACAAATTGAAATTCACTTTGTAAGTAAAATATTATATATTATTTATTTTAAACAATCCAATAAGTTATTGATCAGATAAAAAGATCGATTTGGCGTCATTTAAGAAATTCATCTGTTAACTCGTTTTTTACTGTTATATAAATCTTTGATGAGACCAAAATTTGAATACGCTGCTTACGTTTGGTGTTCTGGAATTTGAAGTTGATTGAAGACATTGAAAGGGTACAAAAAAAAGCTACCAAGATGATAGCGGAATGCAAAGGATTGGACTATAGTCAGCAGTCTGAAGGTACTAAATCTTCCTACGCTGAACGTACCAGGGCGGATTTGATCGTGGTCTACAACATGTGGCACAATCCAGAATGTCCTCCATGTTACCTGCAGCTGATGAAGGCAAAGGACAGGACGGGAGGACGTTTTGAAATGAAAATGGATTGTCTTATGAAAGATGTGTTATGTATGCTTGAAAAACCAATGTATAAGTGGTTTTTATGATTAATACGTATTATTGTTTGTGTGTGTATATAGATATATATATATATATATATATATATATATATATATATATATATATGGATGAAAATCACAGC